GAGAGAGAGAGAGAGAGAGAGAGAGAGAGAGAGAGAGAGAGAGAGAGAGAGAGAGAGAGAGAGAGAGAGGCAGCAGCGGGTTCCAGACCGCGCCCAAGACATGTGCTGCGAATAATCGTTCCATCGGAAGGTTATCGCCTCTCTAAAACGCAGGCGAGCTGTTATATCGAAGAGGGATCAGTTCAGAGACTCTGCTGACTGGGGACCGGCTGAGGACGATGAAGACTTCTTTCAAAGCTCACGTACAAACACACACACACACGCACATACGCGAGGCGCCTCTTCCAAGAGCGCTGCTGGCACGCCGGGACGGCACAGCTCCCCGGGCCCCTGCCGGGTAGGCATCCCGTCCACACCTAGGCGCGCCGGGACGGCCTGCCTCCAGGGCGCCCTCCGCCTGCCTAAGAGGGAGGGAGGGAAGGAGAGAGAGGCCGGCGCTGCCGTTTGCGTTAGGTATGACATTCAAATGAAGTAAACACGCTGGACAGCAGCAGGCCGGGCAGCAGCCGACACGGGGACCCATTTATTAATTAAACATCGAGGCCTGCGGGCAGCGCCACCTGCTGGGCCTCGACCACGCAGACTTGAAGACCAGCCGGCGCACGGCCGTGAAGCGCCGACACATGATGTGGGCAAAGCATGTTGCGCGGGAATTTCGAAAAAGAGATGGGCGTGGAGAGGAGCGGTGAATTTGTTTTAAGCAGGGGAATATAAGCTTGTTGTCGAGGACTTGCCGGGCTACGTGCAAGAGCATTTGGTGGGCAGTCAAACAGTACAGCCTTCTAATCTCATTCCCGAGGGCGGCCGACCCACCCGACCCGCCGGCCTAAACCAGAGACTGCAAACCTACCTACCTCTACATATAAGATTAGCGCGCAGGAGGGAGGCTGGACTCGGCGCGCACCTCGGCCGGAGATGGACCCGGAGCAGCCCCGCGGGTCCAGCCCGTCCACTCCCCGCACGCGCGCCACTCATCCTCGCAAACAAGAGAGCGCTCGGGCACGGCACAGGGATTCGGAGCCGCCGGGCGAGTCCATCGGGCCGCAGCAGCACGAGCGGAGCTCTACCGCACACCACTTCAACAGCGGAGCTTTCCCCCACAAACACATGCAAATGAGGCCAAGGTGCGCCCCACCATACCCCGGCAGCTCAGCGCCCTCGTGCCTATACGTGAAATTTGAAAGGATTCATGTTTTACGTGGGACGCATTTTTTTATTTTACTTTTCGCGCAGTTTATTTGTATTTCTATCGTGGTGACATTTTGTTTCCGCGACCCCTCTCTCCTCCTCCATTTGCCTTGTTGTCGTATCGTATCGATCAAAAACATCTCGATGTTTTTCAATCTTTCGCCATTATAGCAAAGGCTCGCTCGCACGCACACACACACACACACTTTCGGGCCGCCCCATTATTAGGTCATAGAGGAAGTTGCCTGGGCAGAATAGCTGTACAAATCACGATCTCCAGCCCGATATGCGTGCGCGCGTCCGTACACACACGCACACACACTCACACACGGGGGAGGGGCGGCACGCTACACGAGGAGTAGCACCCCCGCCACAGTTGGAATGGAGCGGCTCCCGAGCAGTATTTCATTTTTTGGCCGGGGCGTTCGCTGACGTTTATGTTAATGTTCGGTGTATGGTTTAAGGGGGAGACCTTCAGTAGCGGAAGCATACGTGGGCGAGGACAGAGAAAGAGTAAGAGAGAAAAAACGAGAGAGAGAGAGAGAGAGAGAGAGAGAGAGAGAGAGAGAGAGAGAGAGAGAGATATGCGTGAGTCAGAGGGAAGAAGACAAAAAAAGGAGAAATCAGCCCCCCTCGACCTGTGGGGATGGCGTTTCACACACAATCACAGGAGAGAAACAGAGAAGGATGGCACTTGTCTGCCGGATACGAGAGAGAGAGAGAACACGCATCCCCCGCCGTGGCGCCGGGGTTTATTTTGTTGTGATGCATAAATCTGAAAACGCACTGCTCTAATGTGGGGGAGTGCGTTAGCATGTCGCAGAGCCCAGAGAGGGGCGCCATCGGTGGAAGTGGTGGGGAGGGGCGAGGATAGTGGAACGTTGTTACGTAAATGAAGTACGCCCCGCGACAGACGCGCAATATAAGGAATTGTTATTGAACTACTTTTGTTATTTCCGGTTCGGGCCGCGGCGCCGAATTGGATTACTTTATATCGAGGAAGAAGTTTTGGCCGCAAACTTGATGAATTTCTCGTCGGGCGCCGCCGCCGTCGCTGCGGGGCCGCGCCGAGGAGGAGCCGGGCGAATACCGACGGGAGAGTGAGAAGAGGAGACGAAATGCGAAATGGGATCCTGCCGGATCCTGCAAACCCCGGGTCGGCAACTGTGGCGCGTGGCGCTTAGCTGCGGCGGTCCTACAGAAGAAATCAGGCACGGTTATGCACTATAATGTGCAACACATCATCATGTTGCATGATGTGCATTATTTTTGTAGGCATACAATTATCTTTGATGGCGTATAAAATTTAACACAATGTGTACCCTATTGCGTTCCTTGATCCGCACCTGAAGTGCACTGCCTACGATAACTACAAAAAAGTTAATTCACGTTGTCGTGTCTTGGCGTCGGTTTAGCGCCGTTTCTAGCATGCTGTAGAACCATAAAAATCAAGATGGGTTTGCGAAACGTTCACAACTTTATTGTTAATAAATGACATAATTTACTAAGTCGTAAAATGCAGTGGTCAACAACAGGTCCCTGTCACTAACCCCACCACCCCACCGCGTGCAATTAAACATTTGCTGTATTTATATGTGTTATTCTGCGACCGTTTTTTTACAAAGCTCCGTTGACAAAAGCGAGCTCGAGGCACGCCTTTGGTTTTGAGCTCTCGACGGCCTGACGACTGAGGCAGTCGCCCAGCTTTTGCACAAGGTCGCCCAGTGTGCAGGTGACAGCGCTGTCGATGAAGTTAGTAATATCGCTAACACAATAGACGGCAGGTTGCCAGAATCTCCAAGAAGGAACGTCCTTCGTGCAGCTTTCAATTAGTTTGTTGATGTTTTCGGTCGTCCGGCTGCTGCATGCTGCGCTGAGCTGCGAAGCAAATAAAAATATTTCCATAGAACACAAAATCGGGCAATTTTCTGTTCTTTACGTTCTTAAACATCTCACTGAAATATCGCAGAAGCAATAGTGGTAACTGCAACACTACTTGCTACAGAGGGTGGTCCAGCCACCGGACAAATTTGTTGTTACACTTGCAGACATGTCCATGTTGCCTACTCTCGAAGTGCCATAAAGTGCCAAGCACGGCCGCACGGTTCACGCGGTACTGTATGACTACAAAATTGTCCTCGGTATGTGAGCCACCCTGTAGATAGGAGACAGATCAACAAAGCAGGAAATGGTCAGACATACCTTATTACTCGGGGCGGGTTTAGGGGTGGGAACGGTGGGGACGATGTCAAGAGCGCGCTGGACGCAAGCCTCTGCCTCATCATACTTAAGGGCGCTGGCACCCCTATATCTCAGGCAGACGCGCAGCCGGCCGGGAATGTCATCCAGCGAGCAGGTGGTTGCAGCCCTCAGATGGAATGCGGCTTCCCTGCCACAAGCTTCGCCAGGGTCGTTGAATCGGTCAGAAGTAACATCCCTCGTGCAGATTTCAATCTGCTTCTGCACGTTTGAAATGTTCTGCCTACTGCATGGCCCCTGTAAGCCAAATGTAATCAGTCTCACGGACGAGGAAATTGGGCAATGTTCTGTCTTTAGAGGTTTTCATACAGAATAGCAGGATCGGGAAATGTAAGATTAACTCCGTGTGCAGTAGTTTGGTAAATCCGCGTGGATAGAAAACAAGAAGGAACTAACACAGTAAGAAGGTGTAGAAATGTCAGACACATACCTGTCCACTAGGGCTAGCGATGGCGACGCACAGCTGTGAACAACAAAATAATATCTTCTTCGTGTCAATTCATTTATTTCACTTTGAAACATTGCACTATACTAAACATAAACACATTTCCAAGGGTAGATTGAATGTGTTAAATTTCAGTCAGAAATGTCCCAGTGCAACTTGGTTTGGTGTACTTACACAGGCAAGCGCCACTGCGGCGAAGAAGGTTTTGAAAGCCATTGCTGCGATGAGAGAGTCAGCTATGTCACTGATGTGTCTTTGGCTGAGACCGAATGGTTTTATAGGCCTTGGTGGCCTTCTAAACGATCGGCCTGTTGCAAGACCATTTTAAAACATCCGCATAATGTTACCCAGAATCTGACGGTGGCACTCTCCAACAACTGTATTCACGTTCTTCTGCAAACATCGATGACTGTCAATGTCTTCCTTCGGATGTCCCTCTGAGAGTCTTCTAAAGAATGGTGTAAAAGAAACGCGACATCCGTGGGTTGTTTCAACGTTTTATTTTAACACCATATCCCCGCGTACTACGAGAAATATGTGTGGCTTCGGGTTTCAAGTTAAACGAACATTGCTCAAACAGGGTGAAAGGAACTCTGGTATGCTACACCAGCGAGTTTGATGTTCGATTTTATCACACACCATTCAGAGCTTAGTCGATTTCAGCACTTCATCAATGTGTAATAATATTTACTCTTACTACGTCGTTGTGAACTGAGTTCAGCATAACATGTGCCGATTCTCACTAATCATTCGTGGTCGTAATCAGTAATCTAAACGGTCAACGCGATATTTGCACAAGTACGTGAACACAGCTGTTAGAGTTGGAGTGCTTTCTGCTGCAGTCAGATTCTGGGTAATATTATGCGGTTGTTTTGAAAATGAACGCCTATAAAACCATTCGGCCTCAGCCCAAACCACATCAGTTACCAAGCCGCCTCTTTCATCCCAGCAATGGCTTTCAAAACCTTCTTTGCCGCAGTGGCGCTTGCCTGTGTAAGTAAAGCAAAGAGGAATCCTCTGCGACATTTTTGACTTAAATGAAACACGTTCAGATCTATCCGTCTAAATGTGTTAATGTTAAATATGGTGAAATGTTTCAAAGTGAAATAAATGAATTGACATGAAGAAGTCACTATGACATTAAGATATTACTTTATTGTTCACAGCTGAGCGTCGCCATCGCTAGCCCTGGTGGACAGGTATGTTTCTGGCATTTCTACACCTTCTTGCTGTGTTTTTTTCTTAATGTTTTCTATCCACGCGGATTGACCAAACTACTGCACACGGAGTTAATCTTACTTTACTGATCCTGCTGTTTTGTATGAGGACCTCAAAAGACAGAACACTGCCCTATTTCCTCGTCAGTGAGACTATTACATTTGGCTGAGTTTGTGGCCAAATACAAAAATTGCATTTGCCTCGCAGCTCAGCGCCGCATGCAGCAGCCGGACGACCGAAAACATCAACAAGCAGATTGAAAGCTGCACGAAGGACCTTCCCTCATGGCGATTCTGGCAACCTGCCGTCGCTTGTGCTAGCGAAATTACCTACTTCATGGGCAACGCAGTCACCTGCACGCTGGGCGACCTTGTGCAAAAGCTGGGCGTCTGCCTTCAACGTCAGGCCGTCGAGAGCGAGAAATCGAAGGCGTGCTTCCAGCTCGCTTTAGTCAACGGAGCATTGTAAGAAAAATCTGCAATTTGAAACTGCGAATTTGTAACTGTACATTGAGGGGTAAATGACACGAATTTGTTGTTGACCACTGCGTCATACGATTGTATAAATGATGTGATGTACAGTAAAATGGTAAACGTGATTAAAACCCACGTTGGTTTCATTTATGCACTCCCACATAACCAACAAGTTATGAAACATTCTTTAAAATTATTCCCGATAGTTCAAAACTATTCCCGATAGTTCAAAACTATTCCCGATTATGTAAAACAAAGCCGTTGACTATCCCGTACAGGGGGGGGGGGGGGGGGGCTTCATCGAGCCCCCGCGCTGCTTCCAATTAGACTCGCGCCGGACGAGGAGATGCTCGTGTCCGAGTACCTGCGAAGGCATTGATGCTGCCGGCGCTCATTCAATTCTGGCCACGTGCGCCCCGCCCCGCCCCACAACCCCACCCCGCCGCACCGTACCGGGCCGCACACCGGCGCCGATGATGCCGGCCGGCGGCGCTCCCTTCCCATTGTCACCCACAATGCACGCCCTGCCGGCCCTCCCCCACCAAGCTCCTTTGCCCTTCGCCTCCTGGCCGCACTGAACTTCACGCCCACGCCAGGGGCCGGCGCGCGGCAGGGCGGCGAACAGGGGCCCTTATTGGCGCTGTAATCAAGACCATTGTGCTGCAGGGCCGCGCGGCGAGGGATCACAACGGAGGCCTGCCAGTGAGCAGGAAACCGGCGCCGGAAACTCGTGAGGGTTGAGGGCGGCAGTCGGGTATTCGCGGGCGGGCGACTCGATAAGTGCTACTGCCGCATCACAGACGCGTCTTTTCATGCGTCAACTAGTACGGCGATATGACACTGGCCTGAATGATGAATCGCACAAACTCAGAAACTCTCTAAGATTAGTCAGAAACAAAGATGTTCCCTTCACAAAATGTCCCAAACTATAATGTTTGGTCATAATACACGCAGTACTCCTCTCCTTGCAGTGCGTTTGCACTGTTTTTTTGTTTCGGCGCACTGCGCGGCCACGAGACACTCTCTCTGATTAAGGGCGGCCCGACAGGCTCAGGACAGACCAGGCCAATGCTATCAGATGAGGGCACGCGGGTGGGTAGGGCTTGACCACGTCAACACAGTCCGCTCCGCCGAAGTCGAAAGGAGAAAAAAGTAAGAGGCGAGGAGAGAAAGAGAGAGAGAGAGAGAGAGAGAGAGAGAGAGAGAGAGAGAGAGAGAGAGAGAGAGAGAGAGAGAATAAAGCGGCGTGGGTAGCGGCCCTTGACACTCCAGCAGCTCGTGCCCAAGCAGGCTCGTGTACGCTGCGTGTATAGTCTGCTTCGTTCGTAAAGCTCGTTCGCTCATACGCACGCAACGCAACAAGACTCCTTTGATCCTTTCATCTTTACGTGTTGTCGAGTCGCGTTGCCTCAGAGGGAATACAACTGGCATCTTGGAGCGGAAAGCAGGCGTCGCGCGGAGCGAGCGAGCACCAGAGAGAAAGAGAGAGAAGCAGGGGAAGGACGGAACTCGATAGAAGGCAGAGTGAAGAAAGGGAAAAGGAGGGCTAAAATGGAAAATAAACACGAGGGGAAAATCTGAGCGGAGGGAAGGTAGCGATATCTCGCGCGCAGCACGAAATTCCTTTCTCTCCAAATAACGATCGAACGAAGGGCGAAGTAAAAGAGGCAATAGAGCTGCGGAGTGAAGAGAAGGCGAGGGACAGAGAGAGACAGAGAGAGGGGGGGAGGGCACGGGAAAGGGGGCGCTGTTGGTTCGAGACTTGACTTGAGGAATTTCATCACTCACCCGCTGAAACTCGACCGAGAGCGCAGTGGGACGGATTTATAGGCGCGCAGTCCGACGTGT